TAAGTTATTGGAGTAATTTATTTCGCTATTAATAAATTTCTGAAATACCGTTATCTACCGTTATGTTAAATTAAGGGGTTCTTACGATTTTTTGCGGGTTATAGATTGCAAACTAGGGTGGTCTACTATTTTCCGGGGGTTTTATCCATCAACTCCCAGCAGAACAGGCCTGGTTAAAATTTCCACTAAAATTTTAAGTGCCAAATTTTCCGAGGGTAAACAAAAGTAATGAAAAATACTACTAATTTCCATCAAGAAGGGGGAACTTTAACCCTGTGTAGAAAACATTGCGATGCGATGGAGCAAAACCTTTCTGGGGTTTGCCCACCACGTGTGAATGCTAACATAGTTTTCACACAGCCACATAGAACTTGTATACGTCTGTGGGACCCCGGAATAAAATAACTTACTTATTTAAAATCTGTTTAAAAAATATTCAACTCTTTATTAAAGAAAAAATCCACAAGAAGATCAATTTGTTTTTGTTTTATCTCCAATAATCGAGGAGTTAGATGCAATAAGGGCACTTCTGTTAAAGCTGCTTTCTGAGATATTATCGTTAAAGTCTTTTGGGGTGTGACAACTTTCTTGTTGTTGTAGTAATCTGTAAAAAAGGAATATTGTTGTGGTATTGAAAAAAAATTGTTATATATTCTGTAGTAGTAGTTCCTTCAAGCGATGCGTTTCATGAAAACTTTCGTAACTCGGCGGCGGCGCGTGAGTAATGACAAAAAACGGCGGCGGCGGCGGCGTGGCTCGGCGGCGTATACCTCTAATATGCAGTACATACATAACTAAAAAAAAACAAGATCAATTGATGCAAACATTCTAATCTAGAACTGCTGATTTAGCTCTGGCGTTTGAAAACTTTTCTACTTTTCCGAATCCGGCCAATTGTCCAGCAAAAACTTTTCATATATGTTGTGGGTCAAATCTTCACAAATGCGTACTTATCGCTTACTTTTTACAATACGATTACCAAAATTTGGGAAATTTTTTATGGGTGGTTGGTGGTGGTTTATTACCAAATAAAGCTTGGTCGGTTGTGTTAAGCGGTTTGAACCGGTTTTGCACACTTTTATTAGTTCGTCAAAACGTTTTTTTGCGTTTTAACCGGTTTATAGATTCGAGACTTAAACAAAAAACAATGTATATATGTGTTATTCTTATTCAGTAACAATCCAAAAATATACATATATGGGACGTTCCTCGTCAATCGGAGCAGTACGATAACCAAAATTTTATGGGATGGATTACAAAGATTATGGTATTAAAATTATCGTTTAGTTAGATGTGCGCCATTGAAAGCAGTGCGACTTTTTGTGTCTAGCATTTAAACCCAAGGAAGGCTGCGATCTTCCGAACATTTCAATAACTCCT